TAAGATATATATCAACATATAAACATCATTTCGCTCATAATGCTCCAGAATTATATTTAGCAAAGACATTTCTGGAGTTAAGACAAAGTTCATATTCATTATTTCTGATATTATCTTTTGCACCATCAACCAATAGCTATAAACTTTTCCGCATCACCACCACATATGGAAGAATGTTCCTACATTCACTTTACACTTCCAACAATTTTTGAAGCATTAGGATGACATTTGGCTATTCTGTCAGGGGACCAATACCATCTATAAAATACTTTGTAAATATTTTCTTTATAGTTAATGGCCCTCATATATTTAGCTGTTTTCCACATTTTTGACCATTTGTCTATATCAGTACTATATACTATATCCCTCATCCATGCAATCATAGTCGTCTTAACTGTTTCATCTTGCATGTATTCTTCTAATAGAAATCTATAAAATTTCTGAATCATTTTATCACTTGATGAAAACCAGATTTTATCCAATTGGGTTTTAGTCTCTTGGAAACCTATTACAGTGTCTTTGTTAAATCTAGATTGAAGTTGTAGGCTTTCCCACCATGTCAGCTTTATATTATGAAAGCAGAGAAGGATCTCCTCAGATTTTACTTTATTATTTTTATATAACAATACTTCATAACTTTCTCTGCCGTATTGAGTGATAAGCAAAGGTTTTATGAATGCTTCTAATTGTTATACCCATTTTGGTGTTTTTCAATAATATCTTTCTTTTACATCATTCCAAATTCTTATTAGGACACCTCTTATCATGTGCTGTCTAAAGTTTGAATGTATTTTATCCTTCTCATACCACACATATGCATGCCAACCCATGCTTAAGTCATGTCTTTCTAAACTTAGACTTTTTATATTTTCCAGGGTTAGCCATTCTTTTATCCAACCTAAGGATGCCGCCTGAATTAGGTAATCCAAATCCACCTCTTTCTTTTCTATCTTGTAACGTTTTCCATTTAATTCTTGATCTTTTGGGATATCAAATAAATTGTCTGGTCATTTTGTCAAGGTCCAAAAAGAATTGTGGTCTTTTCAATATAGGTATATTTTGAGCCAAGAATAAAAATCTCGGAGGTATGTTCATTTTTATGGTAGCTATTCCAACCATAAGTGACAGCTGCAAGTCTTTCCATCTTAATAAATCTTTCCTAATTTCTTCAAGTAATTTATTATAGTTGTCTTCTATTAGGGTACTGTTTCTGTTAGACATTATTATTCCAAGATATTTGATTTTTTTCACAATTTCCACATCTGTTAATTTATATATCTCCTGTATCTTGTTTGGTAAACAGTTTTTGGTTATTATTTTTGTCTTCTTCAAATTAATTTTTAAACCTGCTATGTGTCCATAATCTTGAATTGTTTTTAGCAAATGAGTAATAGCGGATACCAGGTTTTCTAATATATACATAAGATCTGCAAAAGCTAATAATTTAAACTCTTCTCCTCTTATTTTGAGATCTTGTATTTGATCGTTTTCTCTTACTATATCATTCAGTGATTCCAAATAGTAGTGGCGATAAAGGGAAGCCCTGCCTTGGTCCTTTTTAAACCTCAATACTTTGCGTCATATCACCATTTATCATAACCTTAGCATATTGTGTCTTATATATAGCGCTGATCATTGTTAGGAATTGTGATCCACATTCCCAAACAGCCAGTTTTTGAAGCAAAAATTCCAGGATAAGTTATCAAATGCTTTTTCTGTGTCAAGGAACATTAATGCCATTTGTTTCTCTGAATGTAGTTCATAATATTCTATAATATTTAAAATTGTCTGTATGTTACTTTTCATTTGTCTTCTCGGTAGAAATCCCGCTTGATCTTGATGTATTATTTGCGATAGCACTTTTTTCAATCTTGTCGTTAAGATATTTGCAAATATTTCATAGTCTGCATTTAAAAGGGATATGGGTCTGTAATTTTTAATTTCATTGCCCTCTGTATCTGGTTTATGTATTAAGGTGACCACCACTTGATACAAAGAGTTTGGTAATTTTCCTGTTTTTCCTATATTTTGAAGTAGTTCTTTAAAAGGTAAACTGATCTTCGAATGTCTGGTATAATTCAGCAGGTAGGCCATCTGGACTGGGTGACTTCTTTTTCTGTTTTTTAATTGCCTCCACTATCTCACAAATTGTAATTTGTTCATTCAAAATACTTTTATAACTTTCCTCAAATTTCTTGTTATTTATTTCTTTTAAATATTTCGTTATTTGAGATCCATTTTGTATTTCTTGCTTATATAGGTTTTTATTTAAACATTTCCACAATATTCTTTAATTCTTGTAATCCATATTTTGCTTCTCCTCTACCATTTCTTAAAGACATTAATATAATTTTTTTCTTTCCTAAGTCTATATGATAACCATATTGTAATAATGTTTAATATATTCTATATTTCTTGCTATTTCTTGTGTTAGTAATAGGTTCATTTTATGCTGTAGCATTCTTATTTTATTTTTTACATCTTCAGATTCTGTTTTTTAAAATTATCATCTATTTTAATTTGTTTTCCTAATTTCTCATATTTCTCCTTTTTTGTTTCCTTTTCCAGGCTTTTTGATTAATAAACCATCCTTATGAATAATTTAAAGGTTTCCCATACTATTTCAATTGACATATCAGGTTGCATGTTTCTTTTTTAAAAATCTTGAATTTCTACTTTGGTTTTCTTTATAAAATCTTGATCCCTTAGCAAACCTATTTTCATCCTCCACCTGGCAAATGTTTTCAGTAGTATTTCAGGTTCTGTTATTTCATTTATCATTCTAGTTGTTATCCATGCCATATCTATTCTAGACCAGGAATTATGTCTAGCTGAATAATATGTATAATCCCTTTTCTATATTTCTACTTCTCCAAGCATCTATTAAATTATATTCTTCTTCCATATGTAAAAAAAATTGTGGGAGCACCAAGCCTGATTTTCTGCTTTTGTTTTTTCCTATCTATTTCAGGATCAAATACTGCATTGAAATCACCTATAAGACATATATTTTCAAATTCTTTTATTGTTAGGACCTCCTGTAAATCTTTGAAAAATATCTCTTGGTTTTGGTTTGGTGCATATATATTTACTATCAATACTTCTTTATCCTCTCTTATTATTTTAACTGCCACAATCCTCCCATCGTCAGAGGCATCTACTCGCTCAGGAGAAAGATAGTCTTTAACGTATATTACAATGCCTCTTTTCTTTTTGACATCTGCCACTATGAAATCTCTTCCTAATTTTTTGCACAGCAAGTATTTTACGTCATCCTTTTTTATATGTGTTTCCTGGAGACATACTACGTCTGATTGAATCTTTGAAATTTGGTGGAATATCTTCCTTCTTTTTTGAGGGCCATTAAGTCCATTTATATTAATAGAGAGAATTCTATTTTTTTTAATTCGTGTCATTTTTGTTTTTGCTGTCTTGTGCTTTACTTCTATATTGAAATCTGGTTAATATCTGTGATGGAGTAGTTTTCGGTCTTCTCCTTTCTTTTTTCGCTGCCGTTCCTTTATTTTTTCCTATTTCTTGTTCTGGGCTTTCTTCTTCTATATCCACTTCTTCCTCTCCCTCTTCTTCTTCCTTTTGCCAGCCTAGCTCTTCACCATATTTTTCAAGAACGTTTTCTATTTTGAATACTGAGTCTATCCTTTGCCTTTTGCTTCCATAATTGAATAATATGCCTTTGGGGACTAGCCACTTGTACATAATTCCTCGGAGCTGTTCTCTCAAGGGCAGTTCTCCAGAGAGCTCTCTCAGCCCCACCTACCTCACAGAGTATCTGTTGTGGGGAGGGGAAGGGAAAGGAGATAGTAAGCTGCTCTGAGACTCCTTCGGGTAGTGAAGGGTGGGGTATAAATCCAATCTCCTCCTCCTCCTCTTCTTCTATTTCTTTATTGTTTAGTTGTTTAAAACATTTATTCCTCTTCTCCTGGAGAAAATGGCTGCTTTGGAAGATGGACTGCCTGGCGTTATACCCTGTGGAAGTCCCAGCCCTCCCTAAACCCCGCCCTCCCCAGGCTCCACCCTCAAATCTCCAGGTATTTCCAAAGCCATAATGCGCAACCGTAGTCAACAGGGTGCTAATCTATATACAATGTGTGTGTGGGGGGGGATGGGACTTGCAAGCTGTTCTGCCTGGAGACCCACCTGCCTGGAAGTGGGGAGAGAAGCGTGGGTGGCCCTGGCGTTTCCTGCCAGCCCTCAGAGAAAGGGGGAGAGCGACACCGAGGAAAGAAGAGGAAGGGAAAACAGAAAAAGAATGGGGGGGTACCTCTCAGCCTGCGCCACTCACCTGCCAATGCCGCCTCGTTGTCTCTCTCTAGCGCTTCAAAATCGAAGGCCTTGCCCATCTCTGCCACGATCTCTGCGCTGATGTGCGTGGGAAGGGTGTGGGTCTCAGGCGGGTGGGTGAAATAGCTGATCTTCCCACTAGCCGAAATAAAAGGAGCGGCGAATGGAAACGCTGCCTTCCTTTATGATTAACTTGTAGTAGGTAATTTGTTGTAAGTAACTGGTGTAGTGGTTAGGAGCGCGGACTCTGATCCGGGAGAACCGGGTTTGATTCCCCGCTCCTCCACATGCAGCTGCTGGTGTGACCTTGGGTCAGTCACAAGTTCTCTCAGAGCTGTTCTCTCAAAGGCTGTCCTTGAAAGGTTATAGATTATTATAATATCTATATCTCCCCTTTCCCCCTTGTTTTTCAGTATCCCTATTTTAATTTAAAATAACAATAATAATTAAAAAGCTATTAAAAATAAATATGCCTACTTTAAACAAGCGAAGCCTCTCTCCTTTTGTTTCTCACATTCCATCTCCGTGCCAGTTCACCCCTGCCCATTTGAGACTAGAGGACCTCCTCCCCCAAAGAAGAGAGAAGAAGAAGAGGAGATTGGATTTATACCCTCCCCTTCAGAGTCTCAGAGTGGCTTACAATACCCTTTCCCTTCCCCTCCCCACAACAGACACCCTGTGAGAACTGCTCTTGAGAGAACAGCTCTGAAAGAACTTGTGACCGACCCAAGGTCACACCAGTGGCTGCATGTGGAGGAGTGGGGGATCAAACCCGGTTCTCCAGATTAGAGTCTTAAACACTACTGGCTCTCCTACACTACACTAGGCTTTCCTAGCATAGGGAGAGGCCTACACTAAAACTGGCCCTGGCCACCGTCTAAAGTTCCAGGTTACACTCGATTCTCACTGTCCCTCACCTCATCCAGTCACTCAGCACCGCTTTGGCCGCTTTCTCGTGGTCAGGCATCCCGCCCTTCTTCAGTTTGCCTTGCCGCCTGGCCAGATGAGCCAGGAACTCCATGGTGTCTCTGAAATCTGGAACGCCGTAGTGCTGCATGATCTTAAGGGTTTTTTTTTAAAAAAAAGAAAGCAAAAGAAGCAGAGTTATTGATTCTGAACCTGACTGTAGCAAAGACGATGTCTTGTACCCATGGCTGGGGTAAGTGAGCCTACGGGTGCCGGGTCTGGCTTGGGAAATCCCGGGGATTTGGGGGTGGGGGTGGTACCAAGTGAAAGTGGGGTCTGAGAAGGGGAGGGACCCTCAGCCCTAAAGTCCGTCGTCCAAAGGAGCCATCTTCTCCAGGGGAACTGATCTTGGTCGCCTGGAGATCAATTGTAATAGTGGGAGATCCCCAGGTGCCACCTGGAGGTTGGCAACTCTGAGCATAGGCAGGCCCCACCACAGCTACTTTAAGCCCTTCCTTACAGTCACAGCTTTTGTTAAATTAAACTACGCAAGTCTTTCACCCTTTTAATTTAAGGGCCAGTCTGGTGTAGTGGTTAGGAGCGCGGACTCTAATCTGGGAGAACCAGGTTTGATCCCCCACTGCTCCACACGCAGCTGCTGGTGTGACCTTGGGCCAGTGACAAGTTCTTTCAGAGCTGCTCTCTCAAGTGCTGTTCTGTAAAGAGCTCTCTCAGCCCCACCTACCTCACAGGGTGTCTGTTGTGGGGAGGGGAAGGGAAAGGCGATTGTAAGCCGCTCTGAGACTCCTTCGGGTAGTGAAGGGTGGGGTATAAATCCAATCTCTTCTTCTTTTAAATTAGAGAGAAGGAGGG